TATGGCACCTGGCAGCATATTTGTGGTATCTGACGCTTTGCTTTATCCTTGTGCCAAATGCAGTGACACTTCCTATGAACTTCACATGAAGTCCTGCAGCACAGTGTGACTCTCTGAATAAGAGAGAATCACGGTGATCTAATAAGCTGAAATAATGATTCATTGGATTTACTCATTTTGTTTGAGGTATGTAGTTGTAAACAATTTATATGGGCTGAATTTAAGGACACAAACATGTTCAACTTAATTTGTTGGTTTAAATCCATCACATGTAAATTGTTTGCAACAACTTGGCTGAAAAAAAAAAAGTAAATCCATTTAATCCAATTCAAATTTTGTGAATCCAATTATCATTTTAAACATTTAAATTGTGTCACATTCCTTCAAAACCACTAGGTTTTACCCATTTGTCCTAAAACAAGTTTTTAATACTTGAAAATAATCAACTTTACTCACATCACAGCCCCAAAAATACAAGTTAATTATCATTTTAAACATTTGAAATGCATCACTGTCCTTCAAAACCACTAGATTTTACTCATTTGTTATTAAAAAGCTTTTTTAAAAAAATCAACTTTACTCACACCACAGCCCCAAAAATACGAATGAATTATCATTTTAAACATTTAAAATGTCTCACTATCCTTTAAAACCACTATGTTGTACCCATTTGACCCTGTAAAGTTTTTAATAATTAAATACAATCACCTTTACTCTCATCACAGTGCCACAATACAAATTAATTATCATTTTAAACATTTAAAACGTGTCACTATCTTTCAAATTCATGAGGTTTTACCCATTTGTCCATAAAAAGTTTTTAATAATTAATAATAATCAAATTTATTCACATCACAGTGCCAAAAATACCAATTAATTATCATTTTAAACATTTAAAATGTGTCACTGTCCTTCAAAACCACTAGGTTTTACCCATTTGTCCATAAAAAGTTTTTAAAAATTGAAAATAATCAAATTTACTCACATCACAGTGCCAAAAATGCAAATTCATTGTCAATTTAAACATTTAAAATGTATCACTATCCCCCTAAACCACTAGAGTTTACCCAATTTTCCTTAAAAAAGATTTTAATATTTGAAAATAATCAAATGTATTCACATCAAAGTGCCAAAAATACTAATTCATTATCATTTTAAACATTTAAATTGTGTCACATTCCTTTAAAACCACTATGTTGTACCCGTTTGTCCCTAAAAAAGTTTTTAATAATTGAAATCGATCACTTTACTCACATCACAGTGCCAAAATACAAATTAATTATCATTTTAAACATTTAAAACATGTCACTATCTTTCAAATTCATGAGGTTTTACCCATTTGTCCATAAACAGTTTTTAATAATTGAAAATAATCAAATTTATTCACATCAAAGTGCCAAAAATACTAATTCATTATCATTTTAAACATTTAAAATGTCTCACTATCCTTTAAAACCACTCTGTTGTACACATTTGTACCTATAAAGTTTTTAATAATTAAATACAATCACCTTTACTCACATCACAGTGCCAAAATACAGATGAATTATCATTTTAAACATTTAAAACATGTCACTATCTTTCAGATTCATGAGGTTTTACCCATTTGTCCATAAAAAGTTGCTAAAATGTAAAATAATCAACTTTACTCACAGCACATCCCAAAAAATACACATTAATTATAATTTTAAACATTTAAAATGTGTCACTACCCTCCAAAACCACTAGATTTTACCAAATTTATCTTTAAAAAGTTTTTAATAATTGAAAATAATCAACTTTTCTCACATCACAGTGCCAAAAAATACTAATTAATTATCATTGTAAACATTTAAAATGTCACTATCTTTCAAAACCACAATATTTTACCAAATTTGTCTTTAAAAAAGTTTTTAAAATTGAAAAAAAAAAATCAAAATTACTCACATCACAGCTCCCAAAATACAAATTCAATATCATTTTAAACATTTCAAATGTGTCATGATCCTTTAAAACCACTATGTTGTACATATTTGTCCTTAAAAACAGTTTTGAATCATTAAAAATAAATCAACTTTTCTATGATAACTTGTGGGAATAGGTCAGGTCAGTTTTGTTCAGCGTAGCATCTTAAATGCATGAGCGCTGAAGCTCCTCTCATTATAGGGGTAGGGGTTTGTGTGCTGAGCCCGTAAGCGGCACAATTGCATGACCCATATTTGTTATTCTAAAGCTGTGGCATGTTAAACGCTGGGCCTGGTTACACTCCACAGGTCTTTGAGTGCATGGGTTTAGTCATGCACTGTGCTAGGTGGTGCTGTTTCCTCATAATGAGCCTAATTGCAGAAGGTGGATATATTTTCAGTGTGTAGTGTCAGCATTTGCCACCGAGGCCTTGCAAAACCCTCTAAATCTCCATTCATCCACAAATACGAGATGGGATCTGTTCCAAACCCTAATGAGCTAACTAACTAGACAGCAACACAGGCAGGCTCATAATGCAAAGCCGTGCAGAGAGCAAAATTGCATTTTGGCCAAATTATGATCATGCAGGACTCAGTATATCAGCACAGATAAGGCCAGAATGCATTACGCTGAAACTGGGGGAGAATGTTTATTTATTATTGGAAATGCATTAATAATGCTTCTTGGAATTTTATTGCTAAAGGTGGAGTTGGAAATGTTTTGATTGATGAATAAGAAGAGAGGTCGTAAACATATTGATGGAAACATTTTTAACATCAAATATTGAGAAGCAGTTTTCAGTTTTGTTTGGTTATTGTTAATTTAAAGATACTGGCCAATTTCAACTATTAAACGACCTCAAAGCTTAAGTTTTTCTATAAAGATTTAGAGTTGAAGTTTTTACTTTTGAAACCTGACAGTTCTGTAACCTCAGGTTAATGAGCAGATGAACGCCACACATCAGTTGTTTCGTTTTAGCACAGCTCCAGATAGTGAACAGTAAGAACTGTTTGTGCACTTGCTTCTTCGGAAAGCTTGCTTGTCAAACACGATGGTAATGAGATTTTTGCAGGGATGTTATTTATGACTTGAAAGCTATAGAAGCCGCCTCTTAACATTCCTGTGGCCTGCTAATTCATTTCCCTCCGATTTCCGCAGAACTCAATGTGAATCCGCTTTTTCTCGTGCCTGTCATGTAACGTGTATTCCACCGAGGAACATATGTTTTGATCCACCGTCCAGAGCTTGACAATGAAGGAAGAGCAACCCTAATGGGAACGGACCACCCTCAGTCTTAAGTTTTCCGAAGGTTCTCGTGGTTTATTTTTGGCTTGATGAGGTTTGATTTAAACGCATAAGAAGCGTTTTAGGTCGTTTTGCTCTCTGGAATATTTTCCTGGTGTTGGCCGGATGTTTTGGAAATATTATGTGTCATTAAATGTACGGAATGTACAGAACTTACTGTAGAGGAAGGACGGGTGTTAATGGCTTTACTGTTGTCATGTTTGTACAATGTTTTGCCTGGTTAAATCATGTCCCTGATAGGTCACAACACAAGCAACTGAGGTAAAAATGAAAGAGGCATTGCTCCCAAGAAGACAGAATGCGTGCATGCAAACACTGCTTTTCTGAAAACTCCTTTTCAAGTGTTTCAATAAAATATCTGAACATTCTTGACATAAAATACAGACATTAGATACTGTATATGCATCTTATATGCATAACAATACATTGAATGTGCATATAAACCATATTAAATGCTAGTAAAATGTCTTCTTGTGTGTTTTATATGACACTAGTGAAAATAAAATGTCCAAATATCTTCATTTTGATGTAATAAAGAATTATGTTCTTATTAAAACATTAAAAACACAAGTGGACAGGTATTTAAAAAGTTATTTAAATATTATTTTTAAATATTAAAACCTTCAATTATTGCCTGGCAACATTCTTGATATCTATAACATTGTAATAACTCATAATAGATAAATGGTACAAATAGGAAATCCTAGTGGTTTATTTTAAATTATTAAAAACAATTTTAAGAATTAAAAACATTTTATTAATAAAAACATTTTAAGGACAAAACTAGTGGTTTTAAAGGACGATAACACATTTTAAATATCTAAAAATATATATAATTTGTATTTTGGCGGCTGTGCTATGAGTCTTTTAATATGCCCTTAAATGTCTGTTCTAAAGTTGCCTGGAAACATTTCCTGACATGTAAACAGTCCTTACATTGAATGACATTTTAATAATTAATTAATAATAACTCTAAGTACACATGGGTAAAACCTAGTGGTTTTGGAGGATAGTGACACATTTTAAATGTTTAAAATGATAATTAATTGGTATTTTGGGGCTGTGCTGCGACTAAAGTTGATTATTTTCAATTATTAAAAACTTTTTAAGGACAAATGGATAGAAACCTAGTGGTTTTGAGGGATAGTGACGCTTTTTAAACGTTTAAAAGAATAATCCATGTGTATTTACTTGCTGTGCTGTGAGTAAAGTTGATTATTTTCAAACATTAAAAAACATTTTAGGAACAAATGGGAGAAACCTAGTGATTTTGTAGGATAGTAACACATTTTAAATGTTTAATCCGATAATTAATTTGTATTTTTCAGGGGGGGGGGGGGTGATGGGAGTAAAGTTGATTAGTTTCAATTTGACATTTTTTTAAGGATGAACAAGCAAAATCTAGTGATTTTGAAGGATAGTGACACACTTTAAATATTTAAAAATGAATGATAATTAATTTGTATTTTGGTGGCTGGTGCTGTGAGTCTTTTAATGTCTTTAAATGACTCCTGTTCTAAAGTTGGCAACACTTCCTAATATGTAAACAGTCCTTACATTGAATGACATTTTAATAAATTATCAGTAAATCAAGGCAAAAATGCCATACAGAAAAATAAATCTTGTTTCTAATCTTGTTTTAACTGTGCACATTCAATTCAAGGATGTTTATATATCTCTACATTAAACTAATCAAAAAAATAATTGCAGTTTCCTAAAAAATATCTTCAAATCTTTCTTTCCATTCACAGACTGGACATGAGAAGCTAACATGGAGGGACAGACTGCCTGGATATCTAATCAACATCTCCTCCATTCTGTTCATGGTAAGCATTACACTGCAATAAGTTACATTACGAAGATTTTTGTCTCTTGTTTGTAGTCCAAATATCTAAAAGTCTTAAATCAAGATGCATTTCTTGACAATATTGTCTTGTTTTAAGAAATAATAAGTCAAAATTAAGTGAGTTTTTCCTTAAAACAAGCAAAATAAAGCGCCAACGTGGTAAGCAAAATAATACATCAAAAGGAAAAACAAGATTATTTTGCTAACCTTAATCCCATAAACAGATTATTTTCCTTGTTTTAAGGAAAAACTCACTTCATTTGGGCATATTATTTCTTTAGATTTATTTTTTCTCATCTATAAAATGCTTCTTGATTTAAAAATAATTAAATATTTGCACTAGAAACAAGATAAAAAGCATTTTATGCAGTCTATCCTTCCTTTCCCGTGTTCATACTGGGCCATATTTCTGATTTCTCTTCCTCTCTGCCTGTAGTTTGGAGTGACGTGCTCTGCAGTCTTCAGCGTCATCATTTACCGAATCACCATCTCCGCCCTTATGGCCATGAGCCCAGACCCTGATGTTAAATCCAACGTGAGGGTGACCGTCACAGCCACTGCTGTCATCATCAACCTGGTGGTCATCCTCATTTTGGATGAAATCTATGGCATGGTGGCTGCCTGGCTAACAGAACTGGGTGAGTTTTACCAGCACCACCCATATCGCACAGCCTCAGTATTACTCACTTTTGCTTTTGGTCAACTTTCTTTTTCGGATGCCCTTCTTCACCCCACCAACACTGCATGAATCTTTGATTGAGCCAGAAAGCCGGGCTTGTCAGTTAGCCATCATCGAGATTTCCTTAAGAGATGTTTTAATAAATGAGGGCCTCTGTGGAGAAGTAGAAAGCGTGTGTTATCGTCTCGTGAATAAGACATGGGTTTTCCTGTACTTCGTTGATTTTCACTCTTAAAGTCTGACCACATACACTCTAATGCTTTAACCTACTTCTGAACTCATTAATTCATGCCTGTTTGAATATGACCATGACTTGCTGGAACTTGGGCGTTTTCTCCTCAAACGTACATGCTGATGTTATTGGCAACATATCCTTAAAGGCGCTGTGTGTTAAGTTTTTGACTCTTCTAAAGCATAAAAATACCATAATATGTTTGAAGATATTTAAGGAACAGGCTGAGTGAGCATACTTGTCTGAAAAACAATGCTAAAGTCTGATAATATGCTTTAAAAATGTGCATTATGTGTCAGAATGCCTGTCTACGTTTAGGTCATTTAACTCGGCCAATGGCAGTTTACTGCACAACATGGGTTCGTTCATTGAATAATACTCATGCGTCACATTAAACGCTCATCTGGAAGTGATATAGAGTGTGACCAATAAAACTGAGAAATCCAAACACAAGTATTCACAAGACACATCTTAGTCCGTGTTAATACACCAGGTGGAAATGCTCTCATCTGACCACTTGCGACGGGATCACTGCAAATGCATGTTAATTCCAGGAAGCAGGAGTCTATAGGACTTTTAACCTTACGACCAGCTGAACAGAAGTTGCTAAAGAGAAACATGCCGGGACACATTTTTAGCCACCCATGTTAATTATACTTGTCAGGTTTTTCAAACTGCGTGCGGTCTATCCAGAACTCATCTCTCTGAACCCTACATAATATCACTTCATGTGTCTGCAGAGATCCCGAAAACTGAGACCAACTTTGAAGAGCGTCTGATTCTGAAGGCTTTCGTCCTGAAGTTCATGAATGCCTATGCACCGATCTTTTACGTGGCCTTCTTCAAAGGGAGGTAGGTGGACATTTGCCAAGTTCAGCCCCAAAACATTAAAAAATCATAATAATTAATTGTGGGAGATAATGAAAAGCACACAAACACGCACATATTCAGCCTCTGGCGTAAAGTCTGACTGCTGCACAAACATCTGGCTTCAAATAAGACAGGCATGTGACCCTTGGCACTGACTGTCTTGGGGCAAGACATATCCCGTAACCAAGAATTGTGTGTGTGTGTGTGTTTTACAGGTTTGCGGGCCGCCCTGGTGACTATGTATATGTCTTTCATGACTATCGAATGGAAGAAGTGAGTATGATTTTTTGAAATTATTAATTAGCACTAAGATATCATGTTCAGCATGAGATGATTTACAAAAATGAACTGGAAAATGTGACTGGAGTGATTAAAAATATGCATTGCTTGTCTCAGAGTAAAGTGCAACACTGTGTTGTTTTTCACTCAAGCAGCTCATGTTTCAGTGTTTTTAGTCTTTCGCAGTGGCTCAATTCTTAGTAATTCAAACATTGAATAGATTATAACGTGCATTTAGGAACGCAACACGCACCAAATTCCCAAATCTGTAACTAAAAACTCTTATAAACTAACAGTAGTCGACAAAAGAGTTCACCAAATGAGACCCTGGAGCACAAAACCAGTCTTACTGTATGGTGCACATGTATATTCTTAGCCAAAGCCAAAATAACAGTCAAAATGATTGTTTTGCATATGTTTTACTGTAAATATATAGAAACTAAGCATTACAGAGCACGTGGACAACTTTAAAGATGATTTTCTCAGTATTTACATTACAAACCAGGCTCAATGTGAATACGTACCCCTGTACACATTTCTGGACAGTGCGAATTGTGCAGCCAGAGGTATATTTCGTCTTTAAAATGAATGCTACGGGGTGGTATGATGACGCCGACGGCTTTTGTTTATTTTCAGTCTACCAGCTGACTCGCCGCGGACTTATAGCAGGGTGAGAACATGGTAAGATCTGAAAACGTGGTAAAAATCAGACAGCCACAAGGACTTTACTTCTTTTTTTTTTTTGCTTTTGAAAACACTATCGGTTGGGTTTAGGGAAGGAGGTTGGCGGGTCAATTGATGCTTTCGAAAACACTATTGGTTGGGTTTAAGGAAGCAGATGGGCGGGTCAATCTGTGCTATTGAATACACTATCAGTTGGGTTTAGGGAAGGCAATGGGTGGGTCAATCTGCTTTTGAAAACACTATCGGTTGGGTTTAGGGAAGGAGGTGGGTGGGTCAATCAGTGCTTTTGAAAACACTATTAGTTGGGTTTAGGGAAGTAGGTCGGCTGGTCAATCTGTGCTTTTAAAAACACTATTGGTTGGGTTTAGAAAAGGTGATGGGTGGGCCAATCGGTGCTTTTAAAAACACTATCGGTTGGGTTTTGGGAAGGAGGTGGGCGGGTCAATCGGGGCTTTTGAAAACACTTTTGGTTGGGTTTAGGGAAAGGGTGGGTGGGTCATCCTGTGCTATTTAAAACAATGTTGGTTGGGTTTAGGGAAGGCGATGGGTGGGAGGATCAATCGGTCGGTCAGTCAGTCAGCTGACAGCACCCTCTGGTTGATTTACATGAGAAGAGCAGGCACAGATGGCAATCGTGAGAGCAATTTGAGATCTGAAAAAGTGTAGAGTGGGCTCTGGTTGATTCGCGGAAAAAAAACTGCAAAAAAAAGTACTTCCTGGGATACATTTTGTGCTCTCCAGAAATGTACACATGGGTACGTATCCATAATGAGCCGGGGTTGTTAGATTAGTTTTGAACCCTCAGATTACAGATTTTCAAATAATTCTATCTCTGCCAAATATTGTCCCATCCTAACAAATCATACATTAATGCAAGCTTCTTAATGCACTTTTCAGATGACGTATACATCTCTGATTCAATTTCAAAAAATAGTTGAGGATCACAAATCACCAAATGTTTACATTCGAAAAAAATCACAGTTGTTTGCACATTTTGCAACCATTTTCAATATCCCAAAAACATGTAACTCTTTTTCCCAGTGTGCTCCTGGTGGCTGTCTAATTGAGCTCTGCATCCAGCTCAGCATCATCATGTTGGGGAAGCAGCTTATTCAGAACAACGTCTTCGAGATCGGCATTCCGTAAGTTCCCGCTTGTCTCCGTGGATCTCATAAAACAAGCTCTACCTCTGAACACAATAGCTTTTTTATCTAGAAACCTTAGGAAGATCATTGCGTCAGATAAACAATAAACGCTGCTGCCCGAAGTTGGTTTATAACAACAGGAAATCCTGAGAGGGTGATGTGGCTTCGCTCCCACTGTCTGCTCCAATGCCTGGTTTTTCCTTTCGTCGATTCCTTTTACTCTCTCTTTGCACGCAGACAAAACTTTCTTCTTTGTTTTCAAATAGGCCAGATTCCAGTCTTGGTACACATGTTTGCACAAGCCATGCATCACGTCACTAATAAACAAGATAATATGCAAATCGTTGTGACTTATGGTTGTGGAATTGAATGGAGTAACGTTTGTACTTGTAAACACAGACAAATCATCTGAGGTGTCATGTGTGCTGCATGGTTTCTAATGCGATTGGCATGCATGCATTATTTCTCATGCATACCAAAGATTGCAGGAATCTGGCACATGACTTCCCATGGGTAGCTCAATGGACATGTAACTCATGGCCATTCAGAATCCCTTTTTAACCTATTTCTCTTTGCAAGAACAACCTTTTCTCAATGTGATTTTTTGCATCCATATCGGTGTAAATCTCTTTAATGTGTGCACTACAGAATGACACATCCTGTTGAACGTGAGCTATCTGATGAGCAGGAACACAATTATTTATGATTCATAGCGTGACTCAGAGTCATAGATTTCGGTCAATTTAAAAGTGACTCACAAAACACACTTTCCAAGCCAAGGTGGCACTCAAAGCACTTGCTGCCTGCGGCTCAACTTATATCTCTCATTTGTACACAACCCAAAAAATGTCCTTTTAAGAGCTACAGCAGCATCTCCAGTCAGATGATTGACAGCTATTCTAATGTTCCTCTTTTCCTCTCTTGTCTTGTTTGGCCGTACTCTAGTTGTAAACCATGTGTGAGCTTGTATAAAGCCTGTGTAGTGCGCCAACAAGTCTATGGCATGCGCCAGAAACTCGTCATTGCAGTTGACCTTTCTATCGCACAGCTTCTCTAGTGTACTTACAGTAAAGTGCCCTTATTTCAAAGGTTTCTAATTTAGTTTTAGAAATCCCCTACGTTGTGTTTATTATTTAGAAGCATGTACATTTTCTTTTTAGATACACTACAACATCACCTTTTTCCCAACACTAGTAGAGATGGTTGGTTGAGGTTTCCGGTCTCTCTAAACCTCCCTAAATAAATGGCCAAACTGTTTTGATAGGTCAGATGACCCTGCTCTGTTGTGATTGGTCAGATTACTCTGTGTGTTTTGATTTGTCAGATGGTTAATTGCAGCTCTGATTGGTCAAACTGACTGGTCCTTTGTTATTGGTCAGATTGACTGGTCTGTTGTGATTGGTTAGATTGACTGGTCCTTTGTTATTGGTCAGATTGCCTGGTCTGTTGTGATTGGTTAGATTGACTGGTACTTTGTTGTTGGTCAGATTTACTGGTCTGTTGTGATTGGTCAGATTGACTGGTCCTTTGTTATTGGTCAGATTGGCTGGTCTGTTGTGATTGGTTAGATTGACTGGTCCTTTGTTATTGGTCAGATTGCCTGGTCTGTTGTGATTGGTTAGATTGACTGGTACTTTGTTGTTGGTCAGATTTACTGGTCTGTTGTGATTGGTCAGATTGACTGGTCCACTGTTATTGGTCAGATTGTGTGGTCTGTTGTGATTGGTTCGATTGACTGGTACTTTGCTGTTGGTCAGATTAACTGGTCTCTTGTGATTGATCCGATTGCCTGGTCCTTTGTTATTGGCCAGACTGAGAGGTCTGTTGTGATTGGTCAGATTGACTGGTCTTTTGTTGTTGGTCAGACTGACTGGTCTGTTGTGATTGATCAGATGACTCTGCTTGTTGTAATTAATTATGATTGGTCAGACCGGTCAGTCTGTTGTGATTGTCAGATGGGCCAATCTATTGTGGTTGGTCAAATTGTCAAAGCCTGCTCTCAGGGGCGTCGCTGGCCGGTACTGGCCCTATGACAACATTTCGAGAGGGTTTCGGATGAAAGTGAAGGGGTTGGGGGGTGGGGGTTTGAGTCACTGACAAAAGTAAAGAGGGTTCGTGGATAAAAGCGCAGAAGAGCCTGAGGAGGAATGCGATGGGAGTGGGTATTGCAGATATAGCTGATTGCTAAAATGTTGTGATTAGTTAGATGGCCAATGTCAGCTCTGATTGGTCAGATCAAATAGTCCTTTGTGATTGTCAAATGGGCCAGTCTGTTGCAATTGGTCAGATGGCCAATGTCTACTCTTAACTGGTCAGATTGAAAAGTCTGTTATGATTTTTTCAGATGACTGCAATTATTACAATTCGTCAGATGGCCCTGTCTGTTGTGATTGGTCAAATAACTATACCAAGCTGATTGGTCAGATGGCCCAGTTGCAACTAGTTTTCTATTTATAGCATGAGTTAGAAACCAAAAACCCATAACCATATATTCATTTCAGCTCAGACAAGCAGTAACAGTGGCTTTATTCCATTATTATGTTGTTGTTGTTACAATCCTGTATGCACAGGAAGTAAGACTGGAGTTACCAATGACTCCTTTTTTTTAAGAGAAGCACAAACCATAATTGGGCCACTTTAAGATGCAAAACTGCAGTCCAACACTTTCTCCCTTACAGTTCTATGAATACTCATCTTGAGCTTCTGTTTTTTATTTTGTGGGTAGGGGGACACGCAGAAGTGGGGTTTATAGCAACTGAACCATGATTGAGGACGACTCGATATCCCCCCTGACCTACTTAACCCATCTAATCTCCCCGCAGACCAATGATAACATGCAAAAGGCTGCTTCTTTTTTTTTCAAATCTGTTTTAATTGTCATTGACCACAAGTAGAGGTTCGCGTGTGACTCGATGCGCATTCCCAAATGCAAATGCATGGCAACATCTGGTAAACGAGAGCTTTATCACGGATGGAGGAAAGCACTTATGATACAAAAGCATGCATTAAAAAGTAATGTGCTGGAAAAGGCTGTAGTTTTGGAGACTAAATAATGCAGCAGATGCATTTGAAGGGGTTTTATCGGGAGCGTTAATAGGCTATAGACGGATGGACCACATGGACCATTTCGTCCACTGTATTTGGCTGCTTTCAATGTGAGCTGTCATGCTCTCGTGCTTGCTCTCCTGATGAGGACTCTCTAAACACAAGTGATGCACGTGGAAAGACTTAGAAAAAAATCCTCAGGTTAAATTGGGTCAAAACATACCTTGTGGCTGCGATCGCATGGCAGCAATTAAAATGCTTTTATAGTGAAAGCTATCCTGTTGAGCTCTTGAATTTTATAACTTGGGCCATTATTTCAAGTTTTCTCCTTTTCAGAGCCCACTTAAACAAGCAACCTTTTCTTCATGGCTTTGAAATCCCAGACAGTTTAATAAGGGGTTTAAGAGAGGTTTGTCTTATAGCTCTGAACACTTTTGGGAGTTATTTATGGTCTCCACTAACTGACGAAGGTCCTGTGATCTCCACCGGCTCTTTTAGGTATTGTCAGGTGTTTTTGAGTTATAACAGCAATATTGGGGAGTGCTAATAGCGCTGGGTGCATTGTTGGATTTTAGCATTGAACCGTTTTCAACTGAAAGTGGAAAACTTGCTATGCATTTTGACATTTTGTTGGCCTTAAAACACAAACGTTTAGGAATTATTATTGGTCTCCACCGACTGATGAAGGTCTTGTGATCTCCATCAGCTCTTTTGGGTAGTGTCAGGTGTATTTGAGTTATTACAGAAATATATTGGGGACTGCTAGTAATGTTGGGTGTTTTGGTGGGTTTTAGCATTGAATTGAGAGATTTGGGGGCAATTTGAACAGTTTTTAGGTAAAAGTGGAAAAAATGTTATGCGTTTTGACATTTCAGTTGCCTGAAAACACAAACTTTTGGGAATTATTGATGGTCTCCACTAACCGACAAAGGTCCTGTGATCTCCACCTGCTTTTATTTACTGTCAGGTGTTTTTGAGTTATACCAGCAATATTAGACACTGCTACAGTAGTAATGCTATAATAGCATTGAACAGTTTTTAATAGAAAATGGAAAACTTGTCATGCATTTTGACATTTTGGTGGTCTTAAAACACACACTTTTGGGGTATATTTATGGTCTCCACCAACTGATGAAGGTCTTGTGATCTCCATCTGCTCTTTTGGTTATTGTCAGGTGTGTTTGAGTTATAACAGCAATATTAGGCACTGCTAGTAATGCTAGGTGCATTGTTGGGTTTTAGCACTGAATTGAGAGATTTAGGGAAAGTGAAAGTGGAAAACTTGTAATGTGTTTTGACATTACGGTGGCCTGAAAACACAAACTTTTGGGAGTTATTTATGGTCTCCACAAACTGGTGAAGGTCCTGTGATCTCCACCGGCTCTTTTAGGTATTGTCAGAAGTTTTTGAGTTATAACAGCAATATTGGGGATTGCTAGTAAAGCTAGGTGCATTGTTGGGTTTTAGCATTGATTTGAAAGATTTAGGTGCAATTTGAACACTGTTTTCAGGTGAAACTGGGAAAATTGCCATGCCTTTTGAAAATTTGGTGGTCTGTAAACACAAACTTTTGTTAGTTATTTATGGTCTCCACTAACCGACAAAGGTCCTGTGGTCTCCACCTGCTCTTTTAGGTATTGTCAGGTGTTTTTGAGTTATAACAGCAATATTAGACACTGCTAGTAATGCTTGGTGCAATGTTGGGTTGAATTGAGAGATTTGGGGGCAATTTACACTGCCTTAAGCTGAAAGTGGAAAATTTGGTAGGTGTTTTGACATTTTGGTGGCCTAAAAACACAAACTTTCCCCATGTAAATTACATCTTTGTGCAAATTACAAAAAAAATAAAGTTGTGTGCATGTATACTCAGTCTTTTTACAAAGTCACATCAGCACTTACTGATGCACAATGCAGCATTTCAAGCCGTTTTCCTGGATCCATGTGAATGGGTTTTGTTTTCCACCAAGTTTTTGACATCTTTGTCATAGGTTATGCATAATATTAGTGCACATACCAGAATTAAAGTTAGGTGTAAGGTTAGGTTGGGGTTAGGATTATGGCAGATAAATGCTATTTTGTTTTCAAGAGTTCACACTTAGCTCGTGATAGTGTGGTAAAGTGTGTTTGGCATGCTGTTCCAGGAGAGAGCATGCCCCCCCCCATTAGCAGGGCGAGAGAGAGGAGTTTGAGCTAAGGTAGATCGAGAACTCCCCTACTCATTTATGGCTATTGACCAATTAGGGATTGCTATGGAGAGATATACTGCTGACTTAGAGCTCATCTATGGAGACAATTTGGTTAATTCACTTATCTAACATGTCTTTGGACGGTGGAAGGAGACCAAGGAACCTGGGGAGAACAAGTAAACTCCACACAGAAACATCGACTAGCCTAGTAAGGACTTGAACCAGTAGGGGTTGAAGGGGGGATTCTTCAAGACAAAGAAAACTGAAGGAAGAAGCTCTGGTTATTTATGGTGACTAAAAAATCATCTGATTGGTGAATGATGTGTTAGCTAATGCAGGACCGGCTGTGGTCAATCATAAGCGTGTGATCCTCTCGAAATTAGTTTATAAATAAACTTCACTTAAAAAAGACATACCTAGAAAGAATAAGAAAGACCTAGGTTAATAAGAAATTCATTATTTTGACTAGTTGATCCACTTCACGTTTTTCACCATGAAGAATAGACGACACTAAAATGACTAATTAAAAATGGTTTTGTGAAAAGAATGATAAATTTTCCATGCAGTTTCCATATTTTCTGCAGTTATGGCTTTAAAAATTAAACAAAATCAGTTCTTTATGGGTTTTTACAGCCATATTTAGGTTATCAACTTCCAATATTGGTATATCGGAATCAGCCAAATTTCCCATATTGGTGCAGCCATGATTGTCCTGTAACTGTATTCATTACCGTAATAGGCTGCAATTTTCATTGCAATTGAGGATTCCATGAAGTAGTTTGAAATAATATAATGTATAAGAAATAATATATATATTGAAATAGGTCTAAAAATAATAGAAAATGCACTGTCAGTTTTTTACAAGGTTTTGTATTTGTATTTGTATTATACAATACAAAGCCAGACAATATATCACTTTAAACCTTTTAAAATGTCAACAAAAGTCACTTTTTTTACTTTTTAAGGTTAAAAGGCATTGCAAGAAAGATCAAGGTCACTTAATGCAATTCAAAAGCATAAATAAATGGGGAGAAATAAAACAAATGAATCACAAAATACAAAAACCTGCTAATTTACTATATATATATATATATATATATATATATATATATATATATATATATATATATATATATATATATATATATTTTACAGTGTGTGGAAAAATCCCTTTTAAAACACTTTTATTTTTAACAGTGTGGATGAAAAATGATCTGTACAACTTGAATCTTTGAATTCCTTAGTTTGTCTCTATTTCGTGGAATCAGGCTGGAGCAGACAGGCTTATATCAGTGTGGTTTAAAAGAAAATATGAAACAAGGGAGCATTTCTGTATAATAATTATGTTTCCAGAGAGTTTCTCTGTGTATCAAAAGTACCAGTCTGCCTCTGTACTGCTGTATAGTCTTGCGTGTGTTTTTAACCAGTAAATCTTCGAGACGTCTGGCCAAGATTCATGCCATTTCAAGTTCATTCTCATGCCAGATCACTGAACTGAATCACACACTGAGGAATTTAAATTAAGTTAAAGCTCAGATGCCACAAGCAATTTTAATATTAGAAAAATGAGTGATGTTTTCCTGGCAATATTCGGTATCGTGATGTTAAAGCAGGGGGGTTTCAGCCTTATAGATACCACAGATTCACAAATATGATCATCTTCATGTAAAGAACTCTCATAATAAAAAGTAAAACGCATCTAATATGGATTTCTTATTCAAAAATCCAAATTATACAGTAAAGTGTTTTATAAATAACATTATAATTATTTTTTAATTAGTATTATAAATTATAATATCAAGATACACAGCAATGGAAATAAATAAGAGCCTAACTCCCTTTAGTCCCTCACACACCCTTATGATTTATCTGGATTGACAATTAATGTGTGTGTCTCTTGGCTCAAGTAAAAATGTTTTATTTAATTAAATATTCATGTAAAATTTAAATAAATAAATATAAATTAAAAGTATATATATATATATATATATATATATATATATATATATATATATATATATATATATATATATATATATATATATATATATATATACATACATACATACATATACATACATATATACATACATATATATATATATATATATATACACTAATTTACACTATATATTGATTATTGATTTATTTTAATTAATAATATTTATTAACATGCATTTATTTATTTATTTCCCCCAATATTAAAGGTATAAAGCATTACATATTTTAAACAGATCTATGGTCGTCTTTCAAAAAAAAAATTAACTAAAATGTAAACAATAATCATATTTGAACGTTTAAAGAGACTTTGTTAGTAGTTTATCAAAATAAACACGAATGATTACATTTTATCATATTTTATATTACATTTTATTAAATAAAATGGTCTCAGTTTGCTCAAGTGTGGTATCAATTTGCATTCTGACAAACATCCAGCCTCGTATTTTGCAAAAGTAATAATTATAAATGACCTTTACATAAACAAATCACATACATCATATCAAAAAGCCATGTGTTTGCCAAAAATCCATATGCCTTTCTTTAGAAGTAAAACCGACACTTTAAAAACCCACTCCTGCTATCAAATGTAGGTCAATTTGGCTGCAAGGTCGAGTTTATAGCAACGGTTTGTGTGTTTACATTCTGCCTCTCTCTCATTTAGAAAGCTGAAGAAGTTGTGCCGCACGCTAAAAGACAAAGATCGGGAGCCCAAGGAGATTGTGGAGCAGCCGGGCCGCCGCCAACAGTGGCACATGGACTACGACCTGGAGCCGTTTGACGGACTCACACCTGAATACATGGAGATGAGTAAGTCCAAAACCAGCAAACGTGTCTTTAAGGTCAAACGATGAGAGAAAACCTGTGGTTAAAGCAAGCTCATCCCCTCCGGCAGGATTTATTGTTGGAGGAATGCTTCGGATTTCACAAAATATCACAAACATTTAGGTAGAAATAATGTATGAGCTTGAGAATTAGGCCAGCAGCTTGTGCATTTGTTTTACAGCTGTGTTTACAGTCAGGAAAAAGCAGCTCTATTTTTTTTTGCTAGCAGGGATGCACGGGATGTGGCGTGCAGGGATACACAAGTGACTGAGTGTTTATGTAAGTTGACATGAAGGCGTCGTACAAAAGATCTGAAAGCCGAGGCAAATAGCAAAAAGCTAAACACCAATGCAAACTTCAATTACTATTATTCATCCTGCATTTACACAAGCCTGTCTCCAAGCAGTCAATATTTTAGCTTTGTCCATTAGAGGTGTATACTCGTTCCACAATATGATGCAGTACACAAATGCTATAATATTTATTATGGACTATGCCAAAATATATGGTGAATTGTTCAGCAGAAGTGAAGGATTTTTGGGAATTGGGTATGAATAATTGATTATAGCTACGTTTGTATTTGGTCATTCATTTTCTTGTCGGCTTAGTCCCTTTATTAATCTGGGGTCGCCACAGCGGAATGAACCGCCAATTTATCCAGCACGTTTTTTACGCAGCGGATGCCCTTCCAGCCGCAACCCATCTCTGGGAAACATCCACACACACACTCATACACTACGGACAATTTAGCCTACCCAATTCACCTGTACCGCATGTCTTTGGACTGTAGGGGAAACCGGAGTACCCGGAGGAAACCCATGCGAACGCACGGAGAACATGCAAACTCCACACAGAAACGCCAACTGAGCCGAGGATCGAACCAGCGACCTTCTTGCTGTGAGGCAAACGTGCTACCCACTGCGCCGCCGTTTATATTTGTTATTATTAATAAATAATATATCTAGTTATAGATATGTGAGTGTAGCGTGGGGGGTGGGTGGGCGTAGAGAGCCTTGAAGGCATGTGACGCCCAATTCACATAGGGCTTCAGCGTCAACGCTTGACTGAAGGCGTGTCTGAAGTTGGGGCTAACGCGATTGTCATAGCAGCATCAGCCAATGAAGCTGACGCTTCCGTCGGCTCTTGAAAAGCTGAGCTAGTCCCTACTTCTGCAGCGAGCAACGCCTCTGAAGTGAAGCCGACGGATCCATAATGCAGTTCGGCAACGCCTGACGTTACCCATTCAAAGTGAATGGGAAGCGTTGACGCTGACGCCCCAAGAAAATGGGGCGTGAGGCTAATAACATGAGTGCTAACGACCGTCACCTGTGTGCTTCACCTGTCTCTTCTCTCGAGTCTCATGGAGGAGCTTTGAATGATCTTAAAAGGAGGAGAAACAGCAGTGGAAGATGAGAGAGCCAGGCCTGGACACTAGTGTTTTGATTTGCTTTGCTTTTAGTTTGGTGGTAGTCTCCGTGACTGTTATTCCATAATATTACGTCACGTGGACTTTGTGCTACCCTCTGCTTTTTAAAACCCATTCCTGAGCACCACATCTCGCGTTTCAAGAGTTCACACTTAGATACTGTTTGACAACTTGTTAGCAGGTTTGGCATGCTGTCCCGGGAGAGAACCCTGAGCTCGGAGATAGTGGAGCCCAGGGTTCCCGCCAGGTCCATAGAGCATGTAAGGGGAGTATGAGATCAAGTGTTCTCGAGAGCTCCCCTCGGCAAAAGAGGAAAGGAGGAGAAGGGGTGGATGGGGGGTTTCTTCGGGTAAACGAAGATAAGGGAGTAGTTCTTAGCTAGGTTACTTATAGAGGGTTTGGATCGATCTGATTGGCTAGCTAATGAGTGTAGATGAGTGGCCAGCTGCAGTCAATCATATCACGTGCTGCTCTCGAAATTAGTTCGTGAAACTTCATTTATAGAAACCAAGACGTGTTCTGTGTGAATGAGTTCTAAGAGTATCATTGTGACGTGAGAATCGTGTATAGAATCCTGTCCCGAATCCTGACATGAGTCTATCGTTACATCACCGTTGTTTGTTTTAGTACAACCTAATTCAGCTCCAAAATCGTCTGTGATCCATCAAGTTTATTGCGGTTGTCTGTCATGATTGTTGCTTGGAGTAACATGATGTGAGACGGTTTAGTCCCTGGAGTGTCAACCAGTTGCACAACATCTTGTGCGTGAGAAAACCTGCTTCTCGGAATCTCGAAAAAAAAAATGTATGGATGCTTTAATCTAGTGCCAAGTAAAACAGAGTGTCTATTTTTTTCCCCCAAGAGTCATACAAGGAAGTGCTTAAGACACTTTATGAATCAAAGAAACGACCGGGGAGAAAGCATAGATGATCTTCAGACCCTGGTGGGAGATCAACACCTACATACTGTGAAAACAACTCTTGACGGAGAAAGAGATCCGTCCTGTGTGGATGTTTATGTAGGATCGCCTGCAGCCTGATCACTCTCCAAGCCATTGTTTGCTGGTTGGACACAAAAAAAACCCCCAAAAAAGTCATGTGTCAATCAAGGAAATGCTGTTTCCCACAAGGCTGTTGTTTCATGTGCTGTTGTTGATTGACAAATTATAAAGCTTTGTGTCAAATCAGAAAGAGAGAGTCGCCAAATTAGCGGCGGTTTTTCAATTGTCGTGATGATTGGTGTAGCTTTCTTGGGATGTTATTTGATCTATGGTAGATAACTTTTTTTTGTAAATGCATTTAGATTATTCTTTCAGCCTTTTAAAGCACTGAACAGCATCATTTTTGTCTCTATGCAAACTACAAAATGTGATTTTATGAAAAAAGTGATGTCGTGCACATGATTATTATTTACTATATAAAGTTGAAGTCAGAATTATTAGCCCCCTTTTAATTTTTTTTTCTTTTTTAAATATTTCCCAAATGATGTTTAATGGAGCAAGGAAGTTTCACAGTATGTCTAATGATATTTTTTCTTCTGGAGAAAGTTTTTTTTTGTTGTTGTTTTATTTTGGCTAGAATAATACCGTAAACCAAACAGTTAAAGGAATAGTTTGCCTCAAAACTAAATGTCGTTTCACAGTGATCAAGGCTACCTAAAATGTAAACAAATTATTATTTTTTAAAATAAATTTATAGTTTTTTTCGGGCAGGAAGCTTTAAATTGAGTAAAATAAAATTTTAACATTTATTTTAGTTTTTTAAGATTTATAGTTTAAGATAAGTTCAGTCAATGGCATTTTTAGAAACAATTGAGGTGTTTGATCCAATGAATGCATATATATATATATTAGATTTTTTTTTCTTTTTTAAATATTTCCCAAATAATGTTTAACAGAGTAAGTAAATTTTCACAGTATGTCTGATAATATTTTTTCTTCTGGAGAAAGTCTTATTTGTTTTATTTTGGCTTGAATAAAAGCAGTTTTTAATTTTTTAAACACCATTTAGAGGACAATATTATTAGCCCCTTTAAGCTATTTTTTTCAATAGTCTACAGAACAAACCATCGTTATACAATAACTTGCCTAAAGACCCTAACCTGCCTAGTTAACCTAATTAACCTAGTTAAGCCTTTAAATGTCACTTTAAGCTGTGTAGAAGTGTCTTAAAATATATCTAGTAAAATATTATGTACTGTCATCATGGCAAAGATAAAATAAATTAGTTATTAGAAATGAGTTATTAAAACTATTGTTTAGAAGTGTGTTGAAAAAATCTTCTCTGTCTTAAACAGAAATTGTGAAAAAAATAAATAAACAGGGGGGCTAATAAATCTGACTTCAACTGTAAGTCTATAGTGATGAGCTAGTACTCGGCTTCTTGGAGACACTGGATCAAATTAGCAGTGATTTTTCTATTGTCATGATGATTTGTGTAGCTTTCTTGGGACATTATTTGATGCATGTGATTGTGATTATTATGTTACATAAGTCTATAATGATGAGCTAGTACTGGCCATTTAAAATAATAATGATGAACTACCAGAACATTTGTGTGCCAACAACGTTGGCTTTCTTTATAAAGTTGGATTGGCAGCTGCTGGCATGGCAGGAATAATATTTTTCAGGTCAGATAAACCAACTGCACCAATCCAAGCTCTTATTTGGTGATACAGAAAATTGTTGTTAGGACAGTGAAATATTAGTAATGAAAGGTTAGCAAAAGTTAGAAATATTAGCAAAAAAAAAAAAGCATCTCTAGTCTGCAAGGTAAGCTTTCTCTCACAGTCTTCCTCTTCAGACTAAGAACAAAGACTTATTATTATTTAGTATAGACTTTGACTGTTAGGTGCATATTTGAAATTTTGTAAATTTTGTTATTAGTATTGTTTAAATTGTTATTTTATTGTTATTATTTACATTGTTTATTAAATTTTTTTACATGGTGTTTTCTTGTTTTTGTGTAATAATTGGCAGTAAAAAATGTATCCCCTTTTAAGCTGAAATATTGTGCTGATTACGCTGTTACACTAAATAAATAAAAAAAATGCTAAATGCAAATATTTTTAAATATGCAATATGATTTACTGAGGTTTGTGGGAGTCAGTTTACTTGTATTTGATTCATTATTTAATGTAACAAGTATGCATTAAAATGATCATCAGAGACATTGAAGAATGTGATCTGCACAAAATTTCTAAACAAAACATGTTGGCAACTGTTTTAATGCCATAATAATTAGGATAGTAATAAGGAGAATAAAAAAATAAAGGGATATATTTTAAAAGATCACGCTGATGCTGACACTAAAGAATGCAGTATGGATTCATTAAATTCAGCTTAACATATCGAGAAAAACGCCATTTTAGAACAAATTAAACAAAAAACAAAAAAAACACAGTTATTTTAAATTACAATAATATTAATTTTTTTTCTGTATTTTAAATTTGCACCCTTAATGTGTAACCTCAAGCTTTTGAATGATCATAAAAAAACTGTAATCCTAATAAAAGACATCCATTATGATTATATATATTTTGATTATATATTGTTACATTACATAATCATATATTACATTATGATTATATATTTTTTGACAAAAATGTCAAACTTTGATTAAAAAAATCACTTTTTAACACCATAACATTGAAGATAATAATGAGAACAGACATGACATGCAAAAAAAATGAATTTGTGTAAATGAATAATGATTTTTTTTTAATGTGTTAAAAAACAACAAATTTAAATAGCAATATTACACAATTCGTCAGTTTTTCTGTATTTTAGCTCAAATAAATGCAAAAACAGTTGCAACCTCAAGCTTTTGGATGACCATATTAAAATCAATATTTAATCCTTTTTGTCTGATAATAACAAACATCAGTCATGATTATATATCACTCATGCATGATCAAAAAAATTTTTTACAAATGTGATTTTGTCAAAAATGTTACATTTTGAACAAAAAACCCACCATAACGATAGTAATAATCAGCAAATTAAGCAAATAGAAAAGAAAGTTATGGATATATGTGAAAGCTCATGTGACACTAAAGACTGCAGTAATGATCCTATAAATTCAGCTTCACAAAAAAAATATTACATTTGCAAAATAAAAAAAAATAAAAAAACAGATTTTAGTTGCAATTAAATTTACAGTTTGCCTGCTTTTTTTCTGTATTTTACAGTTGCTTAAAGAAATGCACCCTTACTGTGCATAACAGTTTTCCCCAAAATTACACCAACCTTGAGCTTTTAGACTATCATTAAAAAAAATCAATATGTGATTCTTAATGCCTGATAGCAAACATCAGTCTTGATTACATTTCTCTCTAATTTGTAATCTAAAAGTCTCAGCATGTAATCCCCATGTTTGTTGTCTTTCTGCAGTCATACAGTTTGGTTTCGTGTCACTCTTTGTGGCCTCATTCCCGCTGGCTCCGCTATTCGCACTCCTAAACAATGTCATCGAGATTCGCCTCGACGCCAAGAAGTTTGTCACGGAGCTCCGCCGGCCAGACGCCGTGAGGACCAAAGACATTGGTAAAAAAAATATTAACATTTACACCACACTTCTCTTGCACCTTCAAGCCTGAATCTAAGAATCCAACCTCTGCTTTTCTCAAACAGGCATCTGGTATAACATCTTGAGCGGTTTGGGAAAGTTCTCAGTCATCATCAATGTGAGTTTAAAACTGTTATGTTTAGAGATGTGTTGCCGTCGTTGTTGCTTATTTATTAGGTTACGCATTAAAGGTATTTTATTAGCTAGATAGGATACAGCTGACGATACTCACATCAATCTAATAAAATTGTATTTTATTGGATTATGCTATATTGACATGAGTATCCTCGGCTGTATCTCATCTAGACTACTCCCTCTCCTGCAGCACTGTGAAGTCTAGATGGGATACAGCTGAGGATACTCGCGTCAATATACCATCGTTTTTGTGACACTACAACAAAGAATATTTTTAAACTACCGTGAGGGTTGGCTTTAGGTTTAATGTAGGGATATATGCTAATAAAATACAATTAATGCAAAATTTAATAAATAATATAAATACTTCTGGTTAACTTCCGATCACAGCTGTATCCCTTCTAGGTACAATCTCAGGAGAGATCCTAGCTGCTGGATTTAAGTCATGTTTATTCATAGTTTTCTGCTGAAATACATGAAGGTAATCAACTGCTTATCTGGGGAAGGAGTAAAGAAAATATTCTAGCATCATAAGCAGTGTGTATGTTACATAAACAAAGCACATCGGCCAGTTATGTTGAAAAATATTTCTTATTATTTTTAATAGACATTAAAGGTATGTTTTGCTTGTAGTTATGCAAATTTAATCGCCTGAAGCCTAAAATAAATGTTATTTGTTTGAAAGCACAGATATATGTTGAAATTGTGAGCAGTTGATGACGGGCGCTTTGAATGTTCTAATCACACCAGTGTGATCGTAAGCTTCAGGGACCAGCTAAGGCGTATCACACAGGTGTGATCGTACGCCTGAAAGGGTTAAACAGAAATTGGGGGAAAGAAAATACATGATAATTCTGACATCAACTGTATGTACACTATAACTATAACAGTGTAACTATAAACAAATTTTACAGATGAATATGATATTAATTCTACGTTCAGCAAGCACACTATAGTATTTACTATTTCATTTTGCAATATATTTAACATATTGATTTTGATAAAACTGTGCTGTGTTTGCAATTGTTTATTCTCAATGCGAGCAGTTTTTTTGTCAGTATTTTGAGTTATTTTTCACATTCTCATGTTTACCAAGGGCCCCAATATTATTGGAGGACACCGTAAGCCCTTCATATGGAAAGTTTATCATACACAGGAATTCATAATTCTTTAAAGTTATGATAAACCTCTAGGTCTGGGTTCACATTATTCATGGAAGAAATCAATTTGCGTCATAATTTCGTGTTCTTTCACCCTAATGCTTTACCTCATGCAAGTTTCCCCTGCTGGAAATTGAACAATAAACCCAGAGCAGATTTGTTTTAATAGATAAATAATAGGGAGATGCTCCCAATATGAGAAGAGTTTTCCAGTAAGCCTTATGGCAAACCCGGGAGAGATCCTTCAGCTTCTCTTTCAACTTTCATTAAGGACGTCATATTTACCCAGAAGCCCACCATCTGATTCACTCCAGCTGTGTTGCTCTTTCAGAATTCAAGTGTTCAGATGATGTTATGTATGGTCATACTGTATATTGCCTCTCTGATCTGATTAAATGCAGGCTATCCAATACTGCATGTGCAATTGTTAATATATATATATAAAAACATTACTTGGAAGTCGTATTTTGGTTCATTGGGGAGAAAACTAAATCTACAATTGCTTTTTTATTTGATTTCTTAACCATTAAGGACATTTAAGCAATTTACATTATTGAGCAATTATTTATTTGATTTATTGTAATATTAACATGTGAAATTAATAATATATAAGTAATATAATTAAATTCATAATATTATTATTTCATTCAGACAAAATTTTAAAGATGAGACTATT